TTTTTCCTCTTCATTTTTTATTTTAATTTTTAAATTCTTTTCCCTTTTTTCTCACTTTTTCTTTTTTTCCTCTTACCCTAATCTAGTTCTATTAATTTTCTGCTACTCCTTACTATGATCCTTTATCTCACTTTTATCTTCCTCCTTTTCTTATTCTATTGCTTCATTTTTCAGATTTTTCTTCTCTCATTCTCCCTATCTTTTATCTTACTAGCATTACATTTTATAGTTTAGATAGTTTACTCTATGTTAGTACTTTTGAATTCTTTTGTATTTTTAGGGAAGGTATAGTTGTCACATTAGTAGATATTTATGTAAAAATATGGTTTGTCTTAGGATTTTCACTATATTTATAGATTACTTTTTTATAATTAAGGGTTATACAGTATGGTATATGGTTATACATATGGTATATTATACATATGGTTCTTATGATATGCCCATATTCAGATCGTCTTTGATGTTATTATTTTTGCTGATTTACTTGCAATTGCCAGGGTGGCATAATGGTTGCTATTAATAAGTATGCCAATATCTGGAATGTCTTTGTGTCATTAATAATACTATGGTTCATTCCTAGAGAACTGGTAACTGAGCAAATTACACTGTGTCCTCTTCTTCAGAGTTAATGGCGGTGATCAGAACTTGCGACAAAGGCAGAGGCCTATAATTAGCCAAACTCAATCTCTCACTGAAAAGCAGACACTGCTAAATAGATCTCCAAACTCTACTATAACTAGCCACAAACTTCAACACAAAACAAACAGAAAATAGAAACATGAGAAACAAAGCAATAAATACTTGCAAAAGCTTTCAACTCCCCCAAAGATTACACATGTTGCATTGAAGGATAGAAAATCTTTAGCCACAGAGCTGGATTATTTGAAAGGTAATAAAGAAGATGAAAAAAAACCTAGATCATTAAGATGTATGTTGAACTCAAAAAATATAACTAGATAATAGACTTAATAAAATAATCATTGAGTTTATAGAAGACTAATAATAAGCCAGAGGAATAAACATGTGATACAAACCATGAATACCCAGTTAAACAAAGAATCAGATCCCATGACTAGGAAACAAACAGAAACCTAGAATATTAAAATTCTATTGAAATTATAGGTTGCAGAAATGTGAGGATAGTGTCAGTGTTAGAAGAAAACTACTTCTGGAGATCAGTTGTTAAGAGATACCTTAGAACAATAAGAAAACAAAAAATGGGTTCAACAGTTGCTAGATGACACTGAGAAAACTGCTGTAAGAGTTATTAGAATTAGTGAAAACTCCTAAGACAGAGAAAGTAGTAAAAAACATGTTCATAGATATAATAGCAGAAAACTTTCCAAATATAGGAAAATAATTAAATGTACAGATAAGTGAGGTATGTAGAAATGCAAATGGCCATGATCAAATAAGAACCTTACCATATATGATAGTCACCATCCCAGAAGTCCAACACAGGGACAGAACATTAAAAAAACTATCAGAGAAAAAGCAACAAATCACTGATAAAGATTTCAATTAGAATTACAGAGACCTCTCAACAAAATTTTAAAGGCCAAGAAAACTTGGAGTGAAGTTTTTCTAATTTTAGTATATATGCTGCTGAAGTGAGCACAGGGTGAAGTATTGCAAGAGCTAAAACTAAAAAACTTCAACTCCAACTTATATACCCTGCAAAGCTGTCTTCCAACATTGATAGAGAAATAAGGCTTTTACCCTAACAAAATAGATACAAGAAGATCTTATCTCAGTGTTAGGAAAGGTATTGATAACAAACCAATTGCCAACATCATATTAAAGCTTCCCCTATAAAATTAGGAATTAGGCAAGGGTGTCCATTGTCACCACTCCTATTCCATATTGTTCTCTAGGCATTTGCCAGAATCATCAGGCAAGACAAGTAAAAAGGTGTATATGTAGGAAAGGAATGAGTCCAATTATCATTATTGACAGATGACACGATCCTCGGTACAGATGACCAAAAAAAAAATCCCACCAAAAGACTCTAGAAGCTAGAGACCAAATTCAGTAGCATGGCAGGATTCTTAATTAATACACAAAAGTCAATAGCATTCCTGCTAATTGATAGTGAATTCACTGAGAAAGAAATTAGGAAAACAATTCCATTCACAATAGCATCAAAAATTTAAATATTTATGAATTAAACTAACCAAAGAGATAAAGACCTGTACAACAAAAATTGCAGAACTCTTGAAGGGGAGACCAAAGAGAATATATGAAAATGGAAAGACATTCTTTCTTCCTAAATAGGCAGATCCAATATTGTCAAAATGGCAATTCTTCTAAAATATACAGACTGAATATATTCTCAATCAAAATACCAACAGTATTCTTCACATGACTAGAGAAAACAATCCTAAAATTCCTTTGGAACCAGAAGAGACCTAGAATGGTAAAAGCTATCTTGGGCAACAAGAGCAAAGCAGGAATCACCATAAACCCACATTTCATGATGTAAGACAAAACCACAGTGATAAAAACAACATAGCATTGTAAAAACAACAGACATGGGGATCAATGGAACAGAGTAGTGGATACAGAGAAAACTCCAGGCATATTCACCTATCTGATCTTTGACAGAGGGGATGAAAACATACTCTGGAGGAAAGATAACCTAACAAACAGTGCGGGGAACGCTGACTGTTTGAATGCAAAAAGATTGATTTTAAAACAGTGCCTCTGACTATATACTAAAAATAAAAAAAGAATCAAAGATATTAATGTTAAAACAGAAACAATCGGCCAGAAGACAAAATTGGCTAAACTCTTGAAGACATAAGCATAGACAAAGACTTTCTCAACAGAAACCCAATTGTATGAAGAATCAACAGATGAGACCATATCAAATTAAAAAGTTTCTGCACACTAAAGGAAACAGCAGAATGAAGAGATAACCTATAGAATGGGAAAAAATTGCCATTTAATACTGGATCAGAGGAGCAATATCTAGAATATATAAAGAACTCAAAAACACGAGACCCACAACTTAAAAGATCCAATCAAAACACAGGTAACTGAAATGAATAGACACTCCACAAAGTATGAATTGCCAACAAGTACATGAAAAAATAAGTTTAACATCTCTAGCTACTAGAGAAATGCAAGTTAAAACAACACTCAAATTCACTTAACTACAGAAAAAAAAGGCTGTCACCAAGAAATCAAATAATAATAAATTCTTGTGAGGCTGCAGGGCAAAAGAAACCTTTCTGCATTGCTGGTGGGAATGTCAACTAGTACATCCATTATGGAAATTAGTATGGAGATTACTAAAAGTAGAAATTCCATTTGACTCAGATATTTCCCTTCTAGGTATCTTCCTAAAGCACTGAAGATATTATGTGCAGTGACACCTCCATACCATTTTTATAGCAGCACAATAATAATAGCTAAATCTTGAAAGCGGCCTGTATGTCCATCAACATAAATGCATAAATGCATAAATAAAATGACAATTTTAATATACTGATACCTTGGTCTACAAATTTGATTCATTCCAGGATTCTGGGGGAGATGGTCATATTTGTGTTTGTGTGGGGAGGTAGCCGTGGTCATGTGCCTTACTCATGTGGAGTTAATGAATGGAAGCAAAATTTTGCTGAAAACTTCTTTGTGCAAATCAAATTGTTCATGAACAGAGGTGAACCAATGTATTACCGTATTCTCTAGCTGAGTTTCTTAGGGAGTCATAGCAAAAAAGGAATATCTAAGGCTTTAAGGAATTTCATTAAAGTTGCATTAATTTCCAGTATTTTCTTTCATGTTAGGCACACAGACTGAAATTAATTACAGTCTTTATTTCATAACAATTCATACCATTGCCCCACATATGACCCCCTAATTCTCAACACATACAGGAGATGTTTTAGGTTTGTATCCTAGACAAAAATCTAAATTATGATTTTAATACAAATGACATATATTTACTAATATGTCTGTAGGACCTACTGTAGCGCCTGGTTTTTACCAGTAGTTCTGTCAATATACAACGCATGTTGGAATGGTTTGTACATGATCCTGCTGATTGGGTGAGCATTTATCAGTAGAAACGATTCTATTGTCAAAGCTTGGTAAAATATCGGCATCAAGTAAAGAGAAAGGAAATTAAAATAAACATATACTATTGAAGTTAAGAATGACTGTGAATGGAAAGAAGAGCTATCATATTCACAAGGCAACAGTGATAGATGGAACAGAACATTATTAAATGTGACATTTAAAAAAAAACGTATAAAGTCCACATCATTTCATAATGTGATGAAAGCATAATGCTTGGAAAAGAGCACATTCAAAGGGTATATGGCCATTAGCCCACATAATCAGGTTGGGACATTAGAGGGAGCATGTAGTAAGTATTGCACTTTTCAGATATAGATTTGAAGCTAAGAAAAGTTAAGTTAAGTGGCTTCTGGGGTAAGTATCAGGTTCAAGAGTCACACTTGTATCTGTTAGACTGCAAAGATTTTAGGCTTAATCCATAACGAAAAAATTGTCCAAAAATGGCAATGTTAAGTCTTCAGAAAACATGAGAAAAGTTCTCCTTGAAAATACTTTTATCATTCAAATTTTTTCCCAATTAAGAAGGAAGAATGCTATTATAGAAAACCATGCAAGGATGCATACATTGAACTCTAGCACTTCCACTGTTTCTGATTCCATTGCCTTAATATTCCCGAATAAAGGAATAGCTTTATGATCCCTGTAATATACACATTTCTGAGCCAGAAAATGGATTCCTCCAGTATTAAATTTTTTTGTAAAAACTGTTTTCTCTGTTGTGTCTTATTTTTTTCTCAGGTTCCCTAATGAGATTGTTGGTTGCACTGGATTTCTTTTTCTGGAGTTAGTTCATGATCTTTGTTGCACAGTATATATGTATATGTATATGTAGATAAATATATGTGTATATACATACATATATATCTATATCTATATATATATATAGACATAAAATCTTTTCTTTTCCCTGGTTATAGAATTATAGTAGAAGATGTGGTGGATTGGAAACCTGATGACAAAATTGTTCTTAGTTCCTCGTCCTATGAGCCACACGAAGCAGAGGTACTCTCCATCAGAGAAGTCAAGGGCCACCACATTAGAGTCCATGGGCGTCTCCAACACCGGCACATTGGTAAGACTTTGGGTTGCTGAGTTTGCTGGTTAACAAAAGTGAGAGCACCGTGACACCTGCATAGAGATCTTGCATGTGGTCGCCATTTAAGAGAAAAGACCTATGGCTCATTCTATTAGAGTTTTTCTTCTTTTCCTTTGCTAATTAAAACCGTTCTGATTAGCATATTTGTGATACTTATTTGGCACATTTGTCGGAGGGATTGGTGTATATACATCTTGATTCTTTTAATTTCCCTTTTCTATTTTCTTCCTTTCACTTCCTCCATTCCCAGAAACTTCCCAGTTCCATGAATTCTATGTTTTTGTATAGCATACTTCAGGGACCATCTCGCCTCCACACTTGCTGTTTTGTTTTCTGAGATGGAGTCTTGCAAGATTGTCTACACCGACCTTGCATTCCAGGGCTCAAGTAGGCCTCCAGCCTGAGGTTCCTGAGTAGCAGGCCAGCTGGCATATGCCACTATTCCCAGCTTTATTTCATTTATAAGAATGTGGCACAGAGCTTGGCACAGGGGTACATTGCTGTAAGCCCTACTTCTTTGGAGGCTGAGGCAGGAGGATTGCAAGTTTGAGTCCAGTCTAGGCAACCTAGCAAAATCTTATCTCAAAATAGTATTTTTAAAGCAGGTCTGAGCATGTAGCTTAGTGGTAGAAGAACATTTGCCATGCCTATGCAATGGTGGGTTCAATCCCTAGAATGAGCAATTAAAAAATATGTCAGAAAAGAGAGAAAGCTCCATCAGTCTTTCCCAATAAAAGCCAATGAGAAATCTAAAAGGTAATGGAGTCCATGAGACAAACAAGGAGTCAGGCCCTTTCTTTCCGTGCTCTGGAACATAGTTCAGATTGTGGAGCGCTGGAGACCCCCCTGAGAGGGCGCTGGTGCTGCTTGGCACCACTCACTTCCTCTCACTAATACATAGTTCTTCTGCTCTGTCACTGCTTGTGCTTGGCTGGGATTCCTCACTCTCCGAAAAGAGGCCCACAGACCCTGTGCAGACAGATACCACTCTCTCTCAGTGACAGGCTTAAGGAAGGAGGTTGGAGACCCCAGTAATTGGACAGTTTTGACCTGGCTCCGTGCACAGTGGCCTGTCCCAGTTTCCACAGTTATTGAGAAGAAATGAATTCTTGTTCAAACACTCACTTTGATCCCAAGGAGAGACAAGTGAACAGATTTTTCATTTCTGAGCTGCCATTTGTAGAGAATGCCTGAGGAAAAGTTGGTAGGACTTCCAAGGGAAAAGGAATATTTTCATTTGTGAGATGTACTGGTCCCCAGCTAGCAGTTTTCAAGAAAGACTTTTAAAGGTTTTTTTCTTCCCAACTCATGTTGCCCCAGGAAGTTCCCATGTCACGGAGGATGGCAAGCACATTTCTTTGGCTGCTGAGGTTGGACTGTTGGCCCGAAATATACAAATCCAGTCGGACACGTCATGTAGTGGGACACTGCTGGTGGGGTCCCTCAGGAAATCTCCCAGAGAAGAATTTTCAGGTAAATAAAATTTAAATTTTTGAGTGGTAACCTTTGGGAACTATGCATCTAGGGTCCTCAGGAATTCCAACTGTTAGAAATTTTACTTATAATACAAAATATTCAAGTGAATATGGTTCCTTTGTGTTCCAAGAAGCTATGAATTTTCAGTTCTAATCTGAGCTTATTAGTGTGATGTTAAAATAATATGCTTGAGATCAGAACATAAGCACATTTTTACCTCAAAGAAAATATCTTCAGCAGATGTAATATTTTTTTCTACTTTGAGATTATAGGTGGTTTAATACCCATTTGAATTTTACCCTGGTTCTAAATTTCTATTGTTCTTTCCTGGTAGTATGTTGTACCTAATGGCAGACATCAGCTCATGCTATAAATTAATGGCTTGAATTTAAATAAAGCAACTTCCATTCTGAAGTGCTTTAAGGATTGCTTCGATTTTTTTCAAACCTTAGCTCTCTTGGAATGCTGCATTGCTTCTTACACATTATTTCAAAGTTGCTTCCTGATGAAGTAGTTTGGGAAGGGGTGTCACTGTAGTTCTAGCTTCAAAACTCTTTGTGTACATGAATATCATCAAAGTTCACAGAAAGCCTGGAATAAGGGATCTAACTACATCCCAAAGGTATTTAGCAAGAGACATTTTGTTGGCTCATCTCTTTCACCAGTTGACAAAGGCAGTATTCGGATCCTCAATCATAAGATGTGGGGTCTGGTCTGTAGAACAAGCCTCTTTCCTTAAGCTCTACTTTTATAATTTTTGTCAGAGGTGATTTTCCCCACTAGGAGAAAACTAGCTATGCTTTGAGATACTTCTGAGTGTCAGGTCTTGGGAGAGCTTCTGGAATGTAGTAGGTAGATGATAAATATCTTACTGCCCACAAGAAACTCACCTTTAAGACCGGACTATCAGGATCAAAATGTCAGCAGCATTCAGGTTGAGAAATCCTGCTTTAGAAGACTCAGACCTTGGCCACCTTAAAAAAATGAGACTGTCCATCAGTTAATGAAAATGGAGATTAAGGATAAAAAGAGCAACTGGAATGATGAGTCCAACTGGGAAAAGTCACAGGTACAGGACAGAGGCTAGCTTCTATATTTGAGCATAAGGACCGTGTCATATCAGCAGTGAGACTGATCTGATCATAAACCTCCAACATTGCTAATCCAGGGCCTTTAAAATTTAGGGGTAGGGAAAAAGAAAGTACTATATATTAAATGCATTTTAGGGACCAAAGACTATGTTGGTTTTTACACAGTAGAATTTTTGTCTTATTTAATTCTATTACTTTTGTGAGAGATATGTTTCATATTCTTATTATAGGAATCATAATCTATTACCCACTATTTATCTCCATCATTAACTTCTGAAGTCCTTGAAGGCAAAGTTGAATCTTGAATCGCTGCTTTATAGCATGATGACTACCATGTGTCAGATGCTCAATAAATATGAGTGAATAAAGTTAATGAAGAGGAAGAGAAGTCATCTAACCAGTTAATGGCAGGTTCAAATTTACCTCTGAAACTTTTGTTACATAAACTTTTACTTTTGAAATAATTTTGGATTAGAAAAGTTTCACAGATTAGTATGGAAAGTCCTTATAAATTTTTTACCCAGGTTCCCCTTTTGTTCATATCTGACATGAGACTGCTACATATGTGAAAAACAACAAATCAACATTGCTACATTAATATTAGTTAAATCATTTTTATATTTTGCCAAGCTTCACACTAGTGTTAGAATCCAATTCAAGTTCCCATGCTGCCTTAAGAAATCTTGCATTTTTTTTAAAATGACGTGTACCAGAGCCTGAATGAGACTGGAAATTTAAGTGTCAATCAGGGATCCATCCAGAGGTATTGATTAGTTACAGAGCTAAAACATAGTCCTGGTCAGTTCCTATTTTAATATTGAAAAAACTCCATCATGATCCCCCTTCTTACCAATAGCATCCAAATAGAAGGTTTGTCAGAATTATAAATTCAAAAGGAAAAATTGAACAGCATTTATGAATGAAATTACTGTTTAGTTTTTCATTTAAATCTCTATGATATTTAAAAGTACGTACTACTAATTATTTTTGGTCATCGGTTAATGTGCATGAAATTTGATCTTGAACAATTTAAAATGATGAATTATGACTACACAATAATGAGACATTAGAATAATGTTGATATGACACCTTACTGAGATGGCATAACTACTACCCATAGTAGAAATTAAACTGTATTTGTATAGACTCGTTCTTACACTTGGCACCCTTTCTGCCAGAGTTTTATACAAAGGTCATATTTAACAGACATTCCAAGTATGCGCCATTGGCAAGGGATATTATCGAACATCTGAAAGATGTTTCATCATTGTGAATATCCTACATCATGTATTAGTGGTTCATCAATTAATATCAACAGAGAAATTTAGATATTGGAAACTCCATTGTCTGGTCATAATGAAACAAAATAATCTAACTAATGATCAAAATAATCAAAATAATCCTAACACTAAGGTCTTGAGTTTTTATGGTGACTAGTTTTCAAGCATGTTAGTTTCTCAACTGTGAAAACACAGTGAAAAAGTAGAGGGTTTGGGCTGTACTGCCACGGAGTTTTAAATACTAAAATTTAAACTTCAAATGCATAGCATATCCCTATTTTTTTTGAGAAGTAGCTGTATGACTTACTATCGTTAGAACCTCAAAAAATGACAACAAATGAAAGGAATGAAGTCACAAATTGTAACCCGTTTAGCAAAGGGTACACAACCAATTATTGGCACATAGTTATAGCCCAATTACCTGAGTCCAAGGCAGAGTTGCTCCCTCTATACCACGAAGGCTTCCACTCTTGCTAGTGGGCAGCATGGGGTTAACAGTTCAGCTTCTTATTCATAGGCAAGACCAAGTCCTAGCTTGGTTATTTAGCTCTTTTCTGCCTCAGTTTTCTATCAGCAAAATAAGGATAATAGCTGTACATATGCAATAGGATTTTTGTGAAAACTAAGATCATCTATCTATTATCTATCTATCTATCTATCTATCTATCCATCTAAATTAAAACAAAATTAACATTTAATAAGCATTACATGAAAGTTAAATATTATAGTTATTAATTCATATTAATTAATCTATGATCATATAATTTCTACTTCAGGAGTATATACAATGATTTACTAATATTTGATTATATTTTAAAATCAATTCACTGCTGCACTTTATTCTATTTTAACAATATCTACTTTAAAGGCCAGGGATTTAGCTCAGTGGCTTAAGCACCTGCCCAGCAAACATGAGGTCATGAGTTTGATCCCTAATATAAAATAAAAATAAAAATAAAAACAAACAAACACCCTACTTTAAGAAGTACAAGTAAAATCTTCAATGAGATTTAAATAATGCATTCTATGCTAATATAAAAGATATGGAAAATATTATTAACATAAAATAAAACAGGAAATGTAGTATGAATAGAAGAAAATATAGGAAAAAGTTTTATAGGTTCTTTAAAATGATTTTTAAATTATTTTATAATTTCTGTCATGTTTCATCATGAAGCGTGCGTAAAGATCCTATTTATGGACATCAGTTGGGCAGAATAAATTTTGCACTTATATTATTCTCAAGAAATGACTGGAATGTTTCATGGAGTAGCCTGTTACATTCATTCATGCAGTATTTTTGTGAAGATGGCTATGATCTTTTTAGATGAGGTCAGTGAAGCAGAGGGCATCACTTGAGTGTGAGGTGAGCATCCACGGATTACTTGTTTCCTTCATTTTATTCAAGTGCTTGACCCAACCTTCAAACACATACACAGAATCTTTAATACCTTTGCTAAATCTCTAACACTTTTGTTTTTGCTGTCTTTATTCTCTTCTTTCTTCATCCTACACCTGACACTTAAGACTGTCCATGAGATATTTTTAGCTATTAATGTGAATATTTCCAGTGATTCATATTTTTAGTGAGTATCTATGATGTGCAATATGGGCCTAGGGCTGAGCATCAACTATTACATTTTAATTTAAAAATCTATATTTTTCTCCTGTCTTAAAATGAACTATTTTTTGTTAATGTATTTGGTAGAGAAGGAGAAAGTACCTGATGACATGCATTTTGTCTGTAGGTGTTCTTCAATTTCTAAATGTGGAAATTTGGAACTTTGGGTCACCACTGTACTCATCCATTGAATTCACTAATGTATCATCGGAATCTTGGATATTATCTTCCACCCTGCACCAAAACTGTGGTGGAGGCATTCGTGCATCTGCCAGTCATGGAATAATTTTAAATGACAATATAGTCTTTGGCACAGCTGGTCATGGCATTGACTTGGAAGGTGAAGCCTATTCCCTCACTAATAACCTTATAGTTCTGATGACACAGTCAGCGTGGTCCACCACTTGGGTGGCAGGAATCAAAGTCGATCAGGCAAAGGATACCCTTCTCCGTGGCAACGTTGTGGCGGGATCAGAGAGACTTGGCTTCCACATACAGGGGCACAAGTGCTCCTCTGAAATGTTTTGGTCTGACAATGTGGCCCACTCCAACCTTCATGGCCTTCACCTCTATGAGAAAGTTGGATCTGACAATTGTACTGGTGTCTCTGGCTTCTTGGCTTTCAAGAATTTTGATTATGGTGCCATGGTACAGGTAGAGAACAGTGTGAAGATAGAGAACGTCACTCTGGTGGACAACTCTGTTGGGCTTTTGACAGTAGTGCAAGTCTCATCTCCACAAGACACAATCAGAAATGTGCAGATTGTGCTTAGGAACTCAGTCATTGTGGCCACCAGTTCTTCTTTCGATTGTATTCTGGACAGAACAAAGCCTCGCTCAGCCAGCTTGACCTCAACAGATCGAGCACCTCCCAACCCCAAAGGAGGCCGAGTTGGTATCCTGTGGCCTGTATTCACCTCAGTGCAAAATCAGTGGCCTTGGGAACCTTGGCACAAAGTAAAAAATGGTCATTCAGTTTCAGGAATCATGAAACTTCAAGGTAGGATATGTGAGTGTATGCAAGCAAATATGGTTTCATATATCCATGCATAGAATTTTTAACAACATTCTGAGATTATATCAACTTGAAGCTATAGTGTGGTTTGATGCTTAATCTCCAACTGACAATTTACATTATTGATAAACGCAATGGAAATTTACATATAAATGACAGGAATGATTTCCTGCACATCACTGCTTTATTCATGTTAGATTTTGTATGAATTGTGTAACTTGATTATATGAAGACTCTTTTAGTAGGTGTTACTTTTCCTATTATACAACTGAGGAAAGAAGGATGCAGAAACTACCTCATGTGCTGTTGCCTAGTAACTCTTAGAACATGTAAGGCTAATATCAAAGTTTTGCCACAATTTGTGTAGCTTATTTGCTATCAGATCCTTTTTGTAATACTAAACTCGTTACTTTCTCATTCCAGTCTATCTGGTAGTTGAATTGATTGTAAAATAAATGGATTTTGATCAATTCTTTGATGAAAAATGTTGCTCTGAAGGCTTTAATATGTTAGAATTCTCTTCTTTTGCCTACAGTATCCAAGTACTGCAAAAATACAGATATTTTGTATCAAGATTTATGTAAAATTCTGTACTATCCTGAGTAGCACATACTGACTCTTGGACATACATTGTAAGGATATTTAGTTGTATAATCTAAATTTGTGACTGGTGGTTCACATGATGTAAATTTGTTATAAATTTTTTAAAATTTCAGATGTCACTTTTTCTAGTTTTGTGAAAAGTTGCTATAGTGATGACCTGGATATCTGCATCCTGCCAAATTCAGACAGCACTGGAATGGCTGCCCCAATAATAGCAGAGAGGACCAGGATGTTCAAGATCAGAGATAAGCACAAGTTCTATTTCCCTCCATTGCACTCAAGGTACCCCTTTCAGTATTAATGAAGTCATATTTTTGAAATGTTTGGTAAATCTTTAAATTCCCGGGGCTGGAGGTTTAGCTCAGCGGCATAAGAGCCCGCCTTGCAAGCAGGCAGTCGTGAGTTCGATCCCCGGTACCGATAAAAAGGAAAAAAGGAAAAAAAATCTTTAAATTCCCAAACATTTTAAAAATCAAATTATCAGAGGAATAAAGGTACATTCTTGTAGAATGGGATGAGATACTGATTTAATGGCCCTGATTATTTACCTTGCCTGTATTCATACTGTTATGGCTTATGAATCCTCATGCACTCACAGGTAGGGCTTCTCAAAGCTGGCTGCATTTAGGGCATGTGATACTGGGATTAAGGGTGTCTGGTACTAAATGAGTCCTCGGATTGGAATGAGCATAGCTCCAGCTATGGGTGGAACCAGTCAGTAGGTTTACTCTTAAATGGAGTATGTAATAAAGGGAGAGAGAGAGAGAGAGAGAGAGAGAGAGAGAGAGAGAGAGAGAGAGGAAAAGACAGGCTTGCTGCTTCTGCTGGTTGCTCTTTGCTGTTTCCTGCCTGCTCTGCCATGGACCCTGTCTCTTTACGCCCTGCCACCGTGCCTTGGAGCTATTGACTGTGGACTGACCTACAGACTGTGAGCTGAAATAAGTTTCCTCCTTTAATTTTGAATGTTTGGCATTTTTGTCTCAGAAACAAGTAAAATAAGTAAGACACATGTCTTTTCTGTGATTTTCAAAATACCTTTTACAAAGAAGTAGAGGCTATTTCTCTTCTCATTGAGTCTAAACTGAGCCAACTGATTTTTGGCTAACAAAATGGAAAAAGTTGTACAGTACAATTTTATTGAGACTTTTTCTCTTTTATCCCTGTTAGGAAGTTTATGAGTTTGGCATAGCACAACCTAGCCTGTTTCTGATGCCCAATGCTGAGCCATTTTAGGCACCACAACACAGTTACTTAAGCAATTTGTAATGTTCTCTCACTTTCCTTTTACTGTCCACTTTTCTCTATCTTCATATCTTACTGAAGGCTTTTACAAAGCTATGTGTCTTAGTCAGATTATGGGCCTTTGACAAAATACCATATACTGATAATTTATAAAGACCAGAAGTTTATTTCTTATAGTTCTAGACTCTGAGATCAAAGAATTATCATGGTTGGTGTGTGGTCAAGGTTGATGTCTGCTTCATCCTTCTAAGAGGACAAACACTATATCCACACATGGTGAGAGGGAGATAAAGGCAAAGAATACTTCTTTCAACACTGAACTCTTTTATAAGGATGCTTATCCCATTCATAAATAGTCTACTCTCATGACCTAGTGATCTCCCAGAATCATACCCCTTAATACTTCTGCGTTGGTATTAAGTTTTGGCATTTATTTTGAAGGAGCACAATCATTCAAATTATAGCACTGCATGATATCAGTTTTTGATTCTTTATACTATTAATATTTAATAAGTGGTTGGCATACAAAAATATTTAATATTATTACCAGTAACACCTAAAAATATTAGGTCAGGAGAAATAAAATAAATTCTCTGTTACAATTACCTATATAATCTTGTTTATATGTCCCACTTGACTCTAAAATTTTATGGGAACTGGTATTATTCAGATTTACATCACCACTGCATCTCCAAACCTTTCAGGAGCAGGTTTTCAACAGATATTTGTTGAATAGTGTTATGTATTTTTACTTTGTGCATAACACAAACATTACTATTATTTATAGTAGTAGTCTTAAAATACTTTAGACATAGAATTTCATTAAAAATTTATATTGTATTTACAATTTAATAATGAAATCAAGAACATTTTCTTGTTCTTTACTTGTTAGAAAATTAGTTATCTATTAAAGTTTATATATCCAGATAGCTAGAGTATTTGGTTAATAAAATTATCTGTTTCACAGACCATATAACTTGTAAATAACTATTTTGCAATTACATGGCACATCACTGATAAAATCCTGTTGAATTTACTTTATATAAGATCACTACTACCAATATGCTTTTTCTTTCTGTTTGTCATGATGTGAAACAGTTGGTTTCCTTGTAGGAAAAACTTAGAAGGAGTGATCTGCTCTGAATCAGATTGTGAAAATCCAAGAAAATATCTCTTCAAGGACCTGGATGGTACAGCGTTGGGTCTACCTCCACCAGTTTCTGTATTTCCTAAAACTGAAGCAGAATGGACTGAATCCTTCTTCAACACAGGTCAGTTGTATCATACATGATGCCTCTAGAGACTATGCATGTGAAGGAGGTGGTTTGGCTGGGTTATCTGATGGGAATAAAATATTCTGGGTGGGAACTGAGTGCTAGAGTTGGAATCCCTACTGTGCTGTGAAATCACACATATCATAGGAATTCTAAGACCTTAAGAGACAGAGTAACATTGCTGCGGGGCCTTCTGGGAACTGCTGTGTCTTTGAAGGTAGATATTGCTATCATCCAGCTCTGTGCACTAATGGGAAAACAGATCTTTTCAGTGCTACACCCATATATTTCTGGCACCACCTTCACACAGCCAAAAGTTTTACTGCAAAAACCAATGGCTTCCTGCTGAGAGAGTTGTGTTTATTTGTTTGTTTTGTGTGTGCATACGTGTGTGTGTGTGTGCGCATGTGTGTTTGTTTTTCTGGTGACTGAAAGAGCACGGATGGCCTGTGCTGAGGGTAAGTCAACATGCTAAAGATTGCAGGAACTCTGAAGCATCTCTCAGTCCGTACTGAGCAGAGATATAACCTCTACAAGTACTAGCTTCCTCATGGCCTTGGAGGATCAGGTAGGGTAACGGTCTTCCAGAGTTCCCTGTCAGAGTTGGTCTTCAGCTTCCACCACAGTTACAGTTTTACAGCATATCAGTTTTCAGCTTTATTTCTTTCCCTGTCTCATTTCTCAGTTTCCTACTGGTGTTTGCAGTAGAACTTTTGGATGTGTAAAGGTGGGTGCCAGAGATATATAAGTATAACACTGAAAAGATCTGTTTCAAAAAGAATATGCAAATGTCAGTCAAATGCTCGATGTTTAAATCATAAGAACATTCTTTTGATGAACTTTTTAAGTGGCTGCTTACCATGTGATATAATACATTATTTATGCACACATATGCTCTTGCTGCTGGTTGCGATACTGGTATTCTTTATTTTTCTCAGTTGTCTGCTTTGGCTGTGAAACATGATTCAATGGTAAAACTCTGGAGTGTAATATAATAGTACACATCATTTACTATTGGAAAACATGGTTCTATATGTGAGTGGCTGAGTGTATATGTGAAGGTATATATGACTGACTGCCTAGACAATGTTCTAAAGTATTTAAAATTTTTAAATGAGATTATTATAGATGGCAACTGCAAAAATTCCATAATCTCTTTTTTACTGCACTAAGAATGCAACCATGTCCTCTTGCACCGAGGAGACTGCAAGAGTGAATGGTGCCTTCTGGGTTCCTACACGATTTTAGTGTTTTCCTTTGACTTCCAAAATATGAGTAAATTCCTCCTTCCCTAATGCAAAACTTATTTATTTTAAATCTCTTTAAATTCTCTTAATTATTTCCCAGTTTCTGACCATAAGCTGGTGCACAAAAATACCACAAATTTAATCTTAAGAGAAGTAATGTCTGCTCTGTATTTTTCCTATTCAATACAAAAATCTATGATTTTTTTATAAACTAGAAAACACAAATGCAGTAAATATAAAAATGAAACACACTAGAACTATTTATATGTATAAATTTATAATATTTATTTATATTTCTTCCTAATGTCTTCATGTTTGACACATCTCACTTCTTTTCCCTATTAACAAATCTCTCCAATTTGGAGGCCATTACCTTGGGGGTTCATTTTAAATTTTAGATAAAAGGTTTTATTTGCACTTATAAATTCACACAAAAACTTCTCAACTCAGTCACACATACGCAGTTCCAAGTCTGTTGTCATACACTCTGGCATCAGGAGCGAAAATCATCCACGTGGATCGGCTGGAAGGCATGCGGTACCTCGGGGCTTTGCTATCTGTATAGTGCAGGGTGTGCAGCCAGGGGAAAAGTAAACTGTTAATTTTGCTTTAGAATTTGCTGTAAGTTTGCATTTTCAGCCAGCTTTGAAAAATGCATGGCAGTAGAATGCAAGGCAGCTAATACCAAGTAAATGAGCCACTGGGAACTATTTATATTTTATTATAGAAAGGATTTCTTTTCATAATGGAGTAACTGATGATCTGAAAATCCAAAATCATTTAGAAGAAACAAAGTCTTGAAATTAATATTCCACTTAGTTGGGATATTAATACAAGGCCAGCTTTCTATTCTGGCTTCTAACTCAATTTCCATCTGACTCTGATTAGAAATGAATGGCATCACGTCATGGAGTAGTTCACGTGTATGAAGGATCAATGGTGTTGGGAGGGGCTGAGAGAAATTAGAGGTGTCGTTCTGATGGTATTTTACAGTTTCTCAGCCAGGGTAAAGCAAGCAGGAGGGAGAGAAAATGGAAGTTGGATGACTGAACATCTTTTGCTTGTTAAGAACTAAAGCCGGAATTGTTCTTTGCTGAGAAAATGTTTTTTGCTCATCTTTGCTGTCATCTTCATAAACATGGAGACTATAGGACTGAACAAGACAACATAACTGCTTTCATCAAGCTTTTGTTTCAGGAGGAATACATAATCAAGTAGTAGTAGAGATGAGAGAGGTGAAGAAAATAAAATAATGTTTTGGTTTGGAGATGTAATGAGAGAGAGAGAGAGAGAGAGAGAGAGAGAGAGAGAGAGAGAGACAGAGACAGAGACAGAGAGACAGAGACAGAGAGAATAACTGCTCTTTGAAATAGAGTTGCATTTAAATAAGACTGAGTGTCAAGTGAGGAAATAAGCCTGAGCAGATACTACAGAGAGCAACCAGCCAAACCAGGAACTCTGAGATCAGGATGGGCTCTGCATGTCAGAGGCTGGGTGGAAAGACCAGTGTGAATGGAGTGTAATTAATAGCAGGAAGGGCTTCAGGGAAACAGAAGCAAGCTCTTTTATTGGCCAAGTTTAGGTTTTACTAAATTTTATCATTTATTTTTATCTTATGTAGTTAGTGTATACAGACTGATGTTTTGATACACATCGTGAAATAGTTACTATCGGGAAGCAAAGTGACATAGCCATTATCTCAGTTACTCTCCCCATTTTTTGTTAATAAGAGTACCTAAGATCTCCACCCAGCAAAAATCTCAAATACAGGACAATATTATTATCTATAGCCTTTGGGTTTTATGTTATGTCTCTATACTAATTCACTCAATGTGTCTGCAAATTTGTGTCCTTGAGTTACTGTCCATCTTCTTGTTTCTTTCCCCTTCTATCCTCTGTCCCTGGGAACCAGTCTTAAGAAGGGTGGTGACAGGGTCTTACCCATTCACAGTAAAGGTCATACCATCTGCTGTGGCAACAGGAAGAGCAGAGTGGTAGGGGCTTCATAGGCTGAGAGGCAGGGACTTCCTGAGGGGCTGTGGGAGTGGTCACGACCTGTACCGGCCCAGATGCTTCTGATACCACTCTGCAGGGAGATAATTAAATAATTTAACATATAAACATAGTGACTTGACAGTAATTTTATGTCTATTGAATATAATTAGTAAAATGTGTCTCTAATTTGTATGATGATATGCAATATATTTTTGAAAGTATGGGTTTTCAATACACAGAAATTTTTGAAACAAAACAAAATCTGCCCATTTTTCCAGTGTTTCTTCATGATGTGGTCAAGACAGTGGATTCCAGGGCTGATTTAGAATCACTCAAGGAATTAAACATTCATTTGAATGTGGGAGGATTTTGAATTAAAGTAGATATGTCAAGTTATATTCAAACATGTACACACACAAATAGGGCTCTGTAGGTGAGTCTGCTGTGTTAAGATCATACATTATTGTTATAGAATTGTACGTGCCCATTTATGTAAATAAACAAGAATGTCAATACTTTTTAAACTTTATGGGCAGTTTTAATTTCTTATAAATAATCAAGAATTAGTTCTCTGTGCCAGACACCAGTAGACATAAACATACTTGCTTAGATATACATTGGATATGTTTCAGAAAGAGAAAAAAAAACATTAAAAAGATACAGGAGTATTTATAATCTAAAGTAAGCCTTTGAATACAAACAATACATTAAATCTTTATTTTTATTGTTTATCACTTGAGTATTACAGTGTTAAATGACCTCAAAATTTTACTTTCATAATATACCACTGGATAAAAATGCGTTTGATATTGTTTATTTTTCATATTCCACATTGAATTATTGAGTTAACAACTAAATTCATGATAAGCTTTTCCCACACTTTCCTTGACTTTCAGCAAATTACTGTGGTCTTACCAGAACTTCTGACCAAATCCACCTTCAGGGGAGGCGATGGTTTTCCCATTCTTTTCTGTGAGTGGGTAAGATACATTTTTCAAATTGGGCTACTTTTCTTGGACATTTTTCAAAGAAGAAAGTTATAAACCATTGTGGAGACCTTAAAAATGACTCAATTCAAATAAAAAATAAAAGATTAGGTTGATAAAAGGGAAAGTGAGGTTGGCATTTGACTGTCAGCGCATACAGTGATGAAGTGGCTTCTAAATGAATAACAGGAGAGCAAAAGTTATTGGAGACTGAATGCTCAGCACTTAACAGGCAGAGAGTGGCAAGCATTTCCTCAAGTCTCCTTGCTGGATCTCGAAATGTGTGCTTTCTTTAAGCTTTCTAGCCTCCTCTTTCTTTCCATTTGTCCTGAGAGTGACAGCAGGATGGTATTATAAAATGAGAGAACGGAGAGGGAGGGAGAAAATGAGAGGACAGAATGGAGAGAGGAAATGGTCGTTAGAAAATTTGTCTGCCAATATCCGTGCTTGCGGAGGTCTTTTTCTTCTAGCTAGAGGGGGAAATACCATTCTCTTTTCCCAAGCAATTATAGGCCCCAAAGATTGAAACTTGGTATATAGCTCTTTAATCTCAGCAGATATTTATGGTTAAACATTAGACTTTTAGGATTCCAGATGTCAGGGTATTAAAATATAAAGGCACAGTGGCATCTCAGAAAATATTAGACTCTTTGGGATATGTGGCTGTAAGCGATTTTTATTCCAAGCAGAAGTGGTAAGGCTTCTGGTAGTACTTTGTAAGACTCAAAGAGAAACTTTCCTCCCCTATATTTTCTCTTTCTTCCAGGAC